GTTTTTATTCCATTTTTTCATATAGTTGTTTGGAAAGCATGAATTTAATTACATATTCACTGCCATTCGTCATCCCTTAAGTTCTTAGATTCTTTCAAAATTTCTTTTTCCATATGACACACACATTCACACTCATGCCGTTTTCATTAGGATGCCTGGCTAAGCTCCCAGATAAACTAAATACTTTTTACTCTCCATGCAGTCTTCTTTCCAGTTTGTGCTCTCCTGAGCCTCCTGCTCAATAGTACCCCTAAGAATTTTCTCCCATCCGTGATAGTTATGCTTAATAGTTTCGCTGACTGCATTATACTTAACATGTACATTTTAATGGTATTTCATATCTAAAGCTAATTTTAAAGCTATATGAATTTCAAGTGATTTTAATATATTATTCTGTGTCAATTTTTCAGAGAGAAATTTTGCCCAGAAAATGTTTTGGTTTTATTGAGTTAAATGTCTATCTTCTTGTATATTTGTTCCTTATCTAAAAATATTTTACACACCTGAATTTTTAACATAGTTTTCTTGATGTATATCCAAATCATAGTTTACTTTCATATTGAGCTGCTTAAAACCTCTGACTTTTCATAAAGTATCTAAGCTGAAGTACCAAATTTATTTTCTTTCAGAAAATAGCTATGAATCCCATCTTGCTATCATTCAGGATTTTCCAAGCAATTGAAGAATAATATCACTTAGGATAAACATCTATATGTATGGAACAAAATTCTTAATTCAACACCTAATAACTAAGTATCTTTGTGTGCCAGAATCTTCTATAAGCAGTGCATAATATAAACTTTATGCCTAGTTATTTATCAATGTAATTATAAATCTATATTGATGTCATTCTATTATTGCTACTTTATATCTAATTATAGCATATGTTCAATGCTTCATTCAAATTTGTTTAATGCAACTGCTTTATAACCACCATATTTTATATTGTTAAAATTCTTAGGGGTACTACTGAGCAGGAGGCTCAGGAGAGCACAAACTGGAAAGAAGACTGCATGGAGAGTAAAAAGTATTTAGTTTATCTGGGAGCTTAGCCAGGCATCCTAAAGAAAACGGCATGAGTGCGAATGTGTGTGTCATATGGAAAAAGAAATTTTGAGAGAATCTACGAACTTAAGGGATGACGAATGGCAGTGAAAATATAATTAAATTCATGCTTTCCAAACAATTTTTCCCCCACAATTGCTTTTATTTCAAAACATCTCATTTTCTTTATTTTTTTCTAAATAATTCATATTTAATCACACACCATTGTGAAAAGAAAGATGAGCAATGCAAGTAAAGTCCCTGCTCAATTGTTCTTCACATTATATTAGCTAGGAAAGAGTACAATAAAATAAACATGTGTTTGGTGTTATGTTCTAGGGACCTATCACAGGGAGATGTTTATTTAATGTAAATGTTTATGAACTTCCTGCACAGTTTTATAAATATGATGCTGGGAAACCACCACTTGTTTTCTGAATACCAGAACTAGTTCTAGAGTGTGAAAATGGAGTTTCCCAATGTCAGATCCCACTTACAAGCAGAAGCTAGAAAGAGTGGGGGGGGTAGAGGGAATGGAGAGAAGATGAGTAATGGGTAAAGGAAACAGCTTGATAGGAGGAATTATTTCTATGCTCTGTAGAAAGTAGGGTAATGATGGCTGACAGCTACTAATTGTGTCAGTATTTCAAAATATCTGGTAGAGAAGATTTTGAATGTTCCCACATGAAGAAGTAATCAATGTTTAAGGTGATTGAAATATCAGTTATCCTGATCTGGTCATCACACAATGTTTAAAAGAATTGAAATATATTACAGTACTCCAAAAATATGCAAAGTTATTGTGTCAGTTAAAAATTGAGGCAATATTTTTAAAGAGATTTAAATGGTAAGCTTAAGAAGAAAAAAGGAAAGAACCTCACAGGAACAATGAGAAAGCAGACTTTCTCACCTAATATTAAATTATACAAAGACCATTTGGTTAAATGAATGTACCCCAGCCACAGGGAAGGTAATTTTTTGGTGTCTCATGAAAAAATGCCAAAAAATATTTTGTTCTTCATTCTACATTTTTATTTCTGAATTGTTGGATTCTTTTCTAAGCTTACTCTTTATTTTCTGTTGTAGTTTTCAGACTGTGTGTTTCTTCATAACATAAATTTTCTTTTGGACAAATGTATTTTTGATGTTTATTATTTTGCTGGACATCATGAACATATACCTGGAATTGGAATTCCACCAGAAAGATGGAAGCCTGCTCTTCCTTATTGTCTCTCAGGGACCACCTGTGCTTATTAGGACTGTTCCTCTCTCTGTTCCATATGATCCCCCTCATCTATTTTCTGAGCATATATTTGCTTCTGTGAAAACAGGACAGATACTTCCCATAACAATATAGGGTCCCATAGTTACACATGATGAGATATTGATGAACTGGAATTTCTAGATTCTATTTCTATATTCTTAGGAAAAAGTTAATTTGATGATAACTTGTCTCATATCAATTTATTTCTAATAATGTAGTTGGGGGTAAGATGAACATAATATATCTATAGTGTGCTCTGTGTGTGTGCATATGTGTGTATGGGTTTGTGCACTTTTAGTGATGAAGATAATTTCAGAGAAGGGCTTTCTGGACACAATATTCACATAGATCCCAACATATGATGATTTGACATATGGTTTCTTGCTTTTATGATGGAACAATACTCATATGAAGGAAATTGCACTCTACTGTTTTTGCTTTATTCACATTAGTAATATATGTTATCATACTCTTCCACAACGCTGCATACCTGCAGCAATCAGTCAGGCACAATATCACAAGAGAAAACAACCTAAGACTATGGTGTACTCTGTTACTAAGCAGGATTTTTAGAAGGTAATATGAATTAAATGCTTTTTGACTTATGTAACCTCAACCTGCAAAGTTTAAATTGGGATATAATCCTGTCATAAGTCAAAAGGCTCTAAATGGTAATTCATAATACAGAAGCCAGCACTCAAAACAACACATGTAGAGAAAAAAATCTTCATTTTAAATTGGAGAGAAAACTTTGCAACCAACTTAATAAAAAGCAAATGAAAAACCTTTGGACACGGAAAACTTTTCTCGTGATATTTCAGTGACAACAAACTCTTCACTCTTCAGTGTTTTATGTACTTCATTATATTATTAATTTACACAATATTGGAGCCTAACCACGCAGTGCAGTATGATAATCTGATACATGCATACAAAGTGTATCAACCAATATTTTATTGTACACATATGCTACATTTTAATTATCTATTAATTGATTGGTGGGGGCCTAGGTTATCTTGGTTACTGTGAATGATGCCACTATACACATAGGTGCTATTCCTTTAAAGTATGTTTCATATCCTTTGGATGTACACACAGAATTCTTCAGTATTTTCTAACACCTCTCCTTACTCTCCTCTTTTAGAATCATATTAAATTATTCTTATATCTTACCTGATTTAATTTCTACAAAATCCTAATGAGCCAAGCACGATTATTATCATGTTTTACAGCACAGGGATATGGAGAATCTGTGTGTTTCACTGTAATTGCATGAAAGAACAACAAATGTAATTGACACCACTGAGATTTTTGAACTTGGTAGGTTGCTCTAAGCTCTGTGATCTTATGATCTACACAAAATGTTTCTCTTTTAAATATATGTTTATATCTAATTATATACACTACAAAAATTTATGGTGTAGATGTGGTTGCAGTGGGAAATTTTTTGGAACTCTTTAATTTGAATAAGTATACTAACTGTGCATGTTTTGTGGTAAAATGTAATATTACAGTAATTAGAATGTCCATCTCTTCAAACATTTACTACTTTCTGTGTTGGGAACATTCAATATCCTCCCTACGTATTTCAAAATATACAAAAATGTATTTTTAATTACAAGTTTTAAGAACTGTGCTATACAGGACTAGACCTTGATTCTTTTCCATGTATTTCTGTACTCACTATTTGATCTCATTTAGCCTCCCTTCCTCTCTGTGCTGCACAGCCTCTATGACTATTGTACCCTTAGCTTCTAGGAAACCAACATGTTCAGCCTCCACACCCAAGTCACACCCCATGCTCTTACTCTTTTTACAGAAACACTCCTTCTTCTTGGCTTGAACAACTGAATGCCACATGTTTTTCTGGGTCTAGCACTGCCTGTTCCTCCTGCAGACACAACTTCCCTAGCAAACCTTGTGGCACTCACCCCATCTTCCTTGAGATCTTTGTTCAACTGTCATCCTTTGTACTGGTTTTGCCTGAAACATAATTTAAAGAAAATAAAAAACAATAAACATCCATATGGGGTCTATTTTTATTTTCTTTCCTTTTCTTCCAGGCATTTGCCATGATCTTGCATCTTATAAAATGTTTAGTTTGCTTTTGTAGTTTCTGCATCATTAAATGATATGTACAATAGCAATAAGTATTTTGCACTCTTCACGTATCATCTAGGCAGTTCAACAAGGTTTATATTCAATTTTAAATTTTGTAATGTATACAAAATTTTTTCATTACAATAAGAGAACACATGATCTCTTAACACCAAGGTGAACATTGGATAGAAATTTCCTATTACAGATGCCAAAATTTTCCAATAAAGGGAACCAATAAATTCATGAAACATACAAATGATGTGTTGACTATAGAAAGTATATGATATAATTTGTGAAAAATTACTAATGCAAGTCTATTCCTCTTTCATCCCCATACCTCTCTCTGTCTCTTTTCTTTCTCTCTTTCCCTCTCTCTCTCTCTCTTCCTCCCTCCCTCTCTGCAGTTTACATCAACAATATGGAATCAAATAATTACACACAAAGTGCACAATTTCTTCTTTTGGGATTTTCAGAAGATCCAGAACTGCAGCCTTTACTGTTTGGAATTTTCCTATCCATGTACCTGGCCACTGTGTTAGGGAACCTGCTCATCATACTGGCCACAGTGTCAGACTACCGACTGCACACACCCATGTACTTCTTGCTTTCCAACCTTTCTTTTGCAGACATTGGTTTCACCTCCACCACGGTACCAAATATGCTGGTGAGCATCCAGACACAGAGCAAAGTCATAAGATATAAAGGCTGTATCACTCAAGTGTATTTTTTCATACAGTGTCTAATGTTGGACAATATTCTGTTGACTGTGATGTCCTATGACCATTACATGGCCATTTTCCACCCTCTGCATTACACGGTCATCATGGACCCCAAGCTCTGTGTGTTGCTGGTTCTAGCATGTTGGATGCTGAGTGTCCTAAATGCCCTGCTACAAAGCTTAATGATGTTATGGCTGTCCTTCTGTACTGACTTAGAAATCCCACATTTCTTCTGTGAACTAAATCAAATAGTGCACTCTGCCTGTTCTGACACCTTTCCTAATGATGTGGTCATATATGTTACCACTGTGGTACTGGGTGGTGGTCCCCTTGTTGGCATTCTTCACTCTTATTTTAAGATAGCTTCCTCCATACATGCAATCTCATCAGCTCAGGGGAGATATAAAGCATTTTCCACCTGTACATCTCATCTGTCAGTTGTCTTCTTATTCTATGGCACAAGCCTAGGTGAGTAACTTAGTTCTGCTGTTGCCTAAAACTCATACTCAACAGCAACAGCCTCGGTAATGTACAGCGTGGTCACACCCATGCTAAACCCCTTCATCTACAGTCTAAGGAATAAAGACATCAAGAGTGCTCTGAAAATATTATTTACAAGGGCAACTAGGAGCTGGATAGTGTGCTCATGATTACCATTTAAACTTTTCTATATTACTTATTTTTCTGTTATTTTCTTAATGCTCTAAAGTTTCAAAAATAGTATCGCTCATATTTTACCTTTCCCCCTTATGTTATGGATCAACTCATAGTTCTCAAGAATAATTTCTTCTTAAAAGGTAAATATCAAACCAAGTAATGTTTTCATTGTTGTTTTATTTTAAATAGTAAATTTTTTGATTCTCATAGATAAAACTAAATTTGGCACTAAGGCATATTTTTATAATTTTCTATTGAAAGTTTTTATCTATAATAGTTCTTTAATATAATGTAAATTTTAACATCACTGAATCTTATAAATGTGCTTCATTCATTATAAATTAGGCTTCATTCTCCTTAGGATTATATTTCTTTCTCAGCTCACTGTCACAGTGTCTGCCATTCAGCAGCAATGGTGGTGGCATGGTGGTGGGGACTCCCACTTGTGCACTGACAGTGGGCCATGAGGAGTGAGCAGAATGTCCTGTAAACACAAACACTTCCATTGTTTGGGGGAGGAATGAGTTAGTGCCAGTTCCAGCACTTGTCTCTTCTCTTGGGAGGGTTTCACCATTCGAAGTCACTTTCAGCTCATGTAGTAGAATAGAAGAGACAGCAGGAACAAGTCCACCATTGATCTCTGAGCCAGACTTAGGGTTCTGAAGGAAAACAAAAACATGTCCTCTTCAGCCCAAGGCTGCTCATTCTGGGCACATCATTCCCCCATGGGATGTTGTTCTGCTCCAGAAAGATAGTTTTCTCCTGCAGATTCTCTGTTCCCAGGAGACAAGATTGAAAGTCAGAGGGATCCAATGTTTGTTACTCCTGCATCAACTCTTTGTCTTCTGGTGCTCTAACCCCCTAACACTTATTGGATCCCTACATTAAAGATGGCTCCATAGTGTAACATCAAGGGAAGTATCTTGATTAGGTCGCTTGGTCTCCAAACCTTTGACCTGTGTTGGCACCTTCACCTCTCCCCTCCCCAGGATCCTGCCATTCTCTTCAAAAATGAGAATTGTGGTTCTTTAATGATAAAACAATGAATACTGCACACTTAACTGCATGCCCTTTTCCCCCCAGTACAATTAAGGAAATCACATTGATAGCAAAGGTTCAGAGCTGTCATTTAGTCCATCATTTACAAAACATTTAGTAGTAATAAGTGATATGTTTGGATCTTTTATACATGTTTCCTTGAGGCTACAATCTTATATTCTCCTATTTTTTCTAATAAAATTCCATTCAGTCGAGTACAGTGTTGCATATGTGTAGTCCAAACTACACAGGACACTGAGGCAGGAATTACTAAATCACAGGATTTTGTCAGCTTGAGTAGCATAGAGAGACCCTGTCCTTTAAAACAAACAAGAAAATATATGTCTATTCTATATGGTCAATGCTTTATGGCCTCATTTTGTATGTGCAGAAATGAGTTGCCACATGGTAAGTGATCAACCCAAAGTTACAAATCAGGTACATACGTATGATTTTAATTTGAGCTGTTTTAAAATGTTTCCACATCCATGCTGTATGCATGTGTTTTCATCCACAGACAAATTATGTCTAATGGACACTTGGAAATATCTCTAGTGTTGATAATCACAACTGGGCCTGTGCTACTACTACCTAATGGGTCAAAGCTGCCACGTATTTTGAGGCCTCATTGCTGATTCCTCTAACAATCCCCACAGCAAAAAGTTCTGCAAACACAAGACCATATTTCCGGTGTGCCTTTGTGTTGCCATTTAATTATTAATCTTTGTTATATAGTTGCATGGTTGCCATTTCATAACTTGATTTTTGTTTTCTTTCTTTTTGTTTTGTTTCAGTTTGCTGCTTTCTTAATTTTTGTGTGGTATAATTATTGTGAGATAGGTTTTATTCCCCCACTCTTTAAAAACTCTTTTTTCTTATAATTTCGTTCTATGTAAAAGTACAGATATTGCCATATCACAGTGAAAATACAAATGTGAACAAATTGGATAAAGTCCTTGCTTATTTGTGGTTGGTAATTTAGAGGTAAATGTGGAATATAGTCATGTAAGTATTTTCACATCTTTTTCTCCTCTGGGAAAATGAAATGAATAAATTTATTGAGTCTAAAAGAGTACAAATTGTATGCTATGTGCAATACTTCATACAATATTGTCTTGAGAGTTTTTCACATGTTTGATAAAGACCAGAACTAGGGAGAGAGTGTTTCCCTTGGATTTTTGTAAAAAGAATTCAAAGCCAAAACCCAACAATAACAAAGAAAAGATATCATATAAAATGTAAGAAAGGTTCTTGCCTTTTTTTTCACACTATATGAAAAACAAGGTGAATAAATATTAAATAATAAACACACATGTATCTTTTCTTTATTTTTATTTTTAATTGACACATAACTGATTCACATATTTGTAGGGTACAGGGTTTATTCATGTGTATATTGTTCAATGATGAAATCAACATAATTAGCATGTCCATTATATCAATAATTTATCAGTTTTAGGATTGGGCATATTCAAAATCATCTCTTGTAGCTATTTTGAAACATACTGTAAATTGTTGGTAAGTATTAAATTGTTGCTGTGGAATACTAGAATTTTTTTCTCCCATTGTTCTCTTTTTTCATACTATTTTCCATCCTCTCTAACTCCCATTCCTACCACACTTCTCCCACCGTAGTGACCTCTGTTGTACTCCCTACTTCTATGGGATAAACGTTTTCAGTATGCACATATGAGTGAGGACATTGGTATCTGTCTGTATGGATGTGGCTTACTTCACTTAATGTAATGTCCCTCAGGGTCAATAATGTGGTCACAAATGACAAAATTTCATCTTTTATAGCCTAATACTATTTTATTTTGTCCATGCATCACATTTTCTATATCTGTTCATCTATCATTGGATATTTAGGTCGATTCCCTTTCTTACTACTGTTACTAATGCTGCAATGGGTTGGAGGGGGTGAAGGGAGGGCAGGGGATTGTGGAGAAAATAAGAAACAAGATACATCATGTAAAGGTACAAGATCCCAATGATGAAAGTAACTGTATTGTATACCTAAAATGTACCAATAAAATTAATTGAAAAAATAATGCTGCAATAAATCCAAGAGTGTAGACGTTTCTTCAATGCAATGATTCCTTTCCTTTGGATATATTCTCAGTAGTGAGTGGTAAAAGTTGCCTGAAGTGGTTGTTCTTTTTGTTTGTTTGTCTGACTCTTTTTCCCCTGAGGGACCGCTAAACAGTTCCATAGAACTGTTTTAATGAACATTCTTATTAAGGGAAATGATCTTTCCTTTTTCTCCATGTTTTCAACAGGGGATTTTTTAAATCTTTTTGATAGTGGTCCTTCTATGTGGGATGATATGGCATGTTTCAATGTGATTCTGATTGTGATTTTTTTTACATTTACATTTATATACCTTCTTTTAAGAAGTATCCACTGAGATAATTGGTCAATTTTTAAAGGAGATTGCTTATTTCCTGTTGACTTATTTGACTTCCTTTTATATTCTGCATACTGACCACTTTCAGATTAATAGTTTGCAAATATTTTCTCCCACTATGTAGGTGGTATCTTCACTCTTGATCATTTTACTTGCTGTTAAGTTCTCTCGTTTTTATATACAATCCCATCTGACTATTATCCTTACTGTGTGTGGTCTCTTTTCATTTTCCTACCCTAAATACTTTTGCCTTTATCTATTTTCTAGAATATTTGTCCTGTCATGTCTTCCAGTAATTTCAGATTTTCAGGGGTAACATTAAGTATTTATACCTTTTATGCAATTTTAGTTGATTTTTGCATATAGAATGAATTAAAGGTATAGTCTCATTCTTTGTTAATTAATACAATGTTCTCACCAACATTCATTGAAGAAAATATTCTGTCTCCAATATATATTCCGGGCACAATTGTTGAAAATCATTTTTGGGCAAATAAGTGAAGTCATTTGTCTTTGTTCTTTTCCACTGATCTATGTGTCTTTTAAAATTTGTATTAGTACATAGTTGACATACATAATGATTACTTTCCTTGAAAGGAATTTGTACATATACATAACATATCTTAATTCCTTTTTCATCTCCTTCACTTACTCTCCTTCCATCTATCTCCCTACTTCTGATTATCTTTTTTTGCTCTTCATTTATAATTTGAGCTTCCCATGTAAGAGAAGCAATGTGATATTTAAGCTTGTGTGTCTGTTTTATTTCACTTAACATTATGCTCTCAAGGTAGATCTATTTTCCAACAAGTTGATCTATATGGAAGAGTAGTACTCTATTGTGTATAAGTGACATATTTTCTTTATTCAGTCATCTGTTTATGGACCTATAAACTCTTTTTGCGATTTATCTATTATGAATTGCTCTGTTATAATCATGCATATGCTAGTATCCCTGTAATATGATGTGTTTATTCTTTTGGGAAGATACCTAGAAGAGGAATAGCTCAGTCAAATGTAATTTCTAGTTTTAATTTTTTGAGAAACCTCCATGCTGATCTTCATAGAGGTTGTATGTGTTTACATTCCCCAAAACAATGTAAGTGTTCCATTTTTTCTTCAGTCTCACCAGCATTTGTTATAATTTGACTTCATAATGATGGCCATTATTTTTTCTGGAGTCAGATGGAATCTAAGTGTCATTTTGTCTGTTTTTATGTCAGTGCCTTGCCATCCTGTTTACCATAAATTTGAAGTGTGCCAAGAATTCTCGTGTTGTGATTCTACTTGCTTTGTTCTTTGTGCATGTAATTCATTCTTGTTATGTGAGAATGTTTTGATGTTTAGGGGTGTTTTATTTACTGGAAAGAATGT